GTGGCGAGATGTGACCGCCCGGCGATCGATATTGCCTGGCGAGGGGGGAGGACAGCGCGTCGTTGCCGGCGAGCTTACGTCGCCGCTCCCGCGTCTCGCGTCCTCACCCCTCGCCTGGCAATATCGATCGCCGTGCGGTCACATCTCGCCACGCGCTCGAATTGGACAGTGGGCAGGGCAAAGACGACGATTTTCGATAATTTATTACTCGTTAACTATTGCGAAAATTGCAAATGGTTCAGGACTTTTCTGTTCATCTCGATCCGTTCTACCTTCTCACGAGCTCTGGGACAAATGTTATAACTCACCCTGTATAACGAACGTAGTCACCTTTTCTAACAGCATTTCTAGTGGCAAAGTTCCGTTAAAATTTTACCAGCAATGGAATAAATTATAACCGGTTATTATATTATTTATTAATTATTAATTACACGGGAAAATAAAAAATATGCCATTGATACATAAAAGGAATTGAATGCTACACACGGAGAGAATTTTTTCTTAAAATTTACCCTGCAAATCATGTAATCGTGGGACAACATGGCATTTTGAAGAACTTTATAAAAGCCTGTGTCCAAGTTCTCATTCTGGGAAATGTGTAGCGAATCAACTTGCAGCTTTTACGGAAAAGTTGATTAGCTACACATTTCTTGTAACTAGAACTTGGACACAGTTCTTGGATCGTGGACACAAGGCTCGAGAACTGTGTCCAAGTTTGAGTTCCGAGAAATGTGTAGTCAATCAACTTGCAGCCTTTCCGTGAAAGATGCAGGTTGAGTGGTTACACATTTCTCGAAACTAGAACTTGGACCAAGTTCTAGCATCGGGGACACAGGCCTAAGAGTTTTTTTTAATTTACCATACATCTTACTAGTAAAATATATGTATACTAAGTGTAATTACTAATAAAATGTATGGTAAAATTAAAAAAAACTTTTATTCGAATACCGTGTTGTTTCACGAATCCATGATTTTCACGGTAAAGAAGAGAAAATTCTCCCCGTGCAGAAATGTCCCACAGAAAATAATTTCTGTTGCATAAAATTAAAGTTTGTTGTAACTTAAACATAACTAATATGTTTAATCTACACATAATAGGTACATAAGTGTATTTTTCTGTATCAATATTTTTGAAAAATCTTTTCTGCAACATTCATGATTTTCTTCACGCACAAAGTTCAATTTCTTTCGCGTACAGAGTTTAAATATTATCATAATTAATTCCGCCCCAGATCACCACGACCAGCACGACGACTCCCGCGCCCGTAATAATACGCCAGCGAGTCCGAGCTCGTTTAGGCGGCCGCACTCATCATGACTCCGCGATTCAGACGCGACCCCGTAACTCCCAGGACGAGTACGTGCGTTTCAGCGCCGTGAACAACGATTCCGGTCGCGGCGCCGGTCAACGGCACCGAGACGGATTGAGGACGAGGACACGCGCGCGTCCCCAAAGTCACGGATCGCAGGTGCAAACCGAGGGTAACGAGTACATAAAAATACACGCGGCTCAGCAGCAGAGGTTGATCGCCACCACCATGCCGCCGCCGACGACGACGACAACCACGACGGCTCGCACGGTGGAGGAGGACGTCGATTACGGATTCATAAGGCCGCCGAATTTCCGGCCGGTGCAGCCGGTGCATCCGGTGGATACCAGATTTCAAGCGCCTATTACATACAGGCCCGCTTTGCCCGAGGTACGTTTCGCGACGTAGCAGGAGAGGAAAGAGTAATTTTGTTAAGCTGCAGTCTTTTCTGCGACGTTCAAAGAACCCTCGTATTTCAATCACGAGTCTACACTAATTGCAGAACAATAGTTTTTCATTAAAAAAATAGCGATTCTTAAGGGGTTACATCTATCAGACGTCTATTAAAATAGACCTTTTTTTCGGGAATTTTTTTTCCCATGAAGCAATAAAACAATCAAAATGCAGTATAAAGGGTTCATTATACTCGTACATATGTTATAATAAGGT